CAACCCCACTCCTGGCATAAGAAACTCTTGCACATTAGGATGGGCTTCTTCTTCTTAGAAGCATCCAAGTGGGAAGAAAACAGCTCATGTCCACCAAGGGAAGGAGCACCCACACTGTGAAGAGTTCGTAGAGTGTAGTGGTCCAATACTACACAGAAAATGAGTGACACCCACAATGCTTAGCGAGAATGAGAGCTACGGAAGGATATGAATAATTCACTTTTCAAAAATTACATACTAATGGGGCTGGAGAGATGGCTCAGTGGTTATTAGCACTTGCTGCTCTTGCAGAGGACTGGAGTTTGGTTCCGAGCACCAACATGGCAGCTTAAAACCAACTAACTTCAGTACCAAAAGATCTGATGCCCTCCTCTGGCCTTCGTGGATACCAGGCATACACATGGTGCACATACGTGTATGCAGGCCCAAACACATACAAATTGTTCCTCATTACATAGTACATTTTATTTTTATTTAATCTGTGTGAGTGTGAGAATGTGTGTGTGTGTGTGTGTGCTCTCATGAAAGCGACACACAGGGAGAGGGGTGGGGTCATGTGCACATCTGTACAAGTACTTGTAGAGACCAGAGATCAATCTCATATGTTGTTTTCAGATTCCACCTTATCTTTTGAAACAGCATCTCTCACTGGTGCCCATCTGGCTAGACCGCATGGCCGATGAGCTCCAGGGATCTGCCCGTCTCTGCCTCCCTTGCCCTAGGATTATAAGCACATGCCGCTATGCCTGGCTTTTTACATGGGTTTTGGGGATCAAACTCAGGTCCTCATGTGTGTACAGAAAGTAGTTTATCAAATGAGAAATCTCCCCAGCTTAAGTAATTCTCTCTTTCAAGTAAAAGAGGAGAGGAGGAACAGGGGAGAAGGCGGGGCCTGGGTCTGGGCAGATAGCTCACTGAGAGAGTGCTTGCTTGGTTCTGAGTTCAATCCCCAGCACCATTAAACCCGGCCTGGTGCACATGCCTATCTTCCCGGTACCCAAGAGGTGGAAGCAGGAAATTCAAGTTCAAGGGCATCCTTGGCTCTATAGCATGCTCAGTGCTAGACCATGTGAGACTTTATTTCAAAATAAAGAAAAATTAAAGGAATTCTATAAACACGTGGGATTAGGCTAACATTCAGAATATGCATGTAAGAGGAGGAATACATGCGCCATGCTTAAGCTGGTTACTAATGGGTACATTAGTGTTGGTTTTCTCAATGTTATTTCAATTTTTGTTACATTTATTTGTTGTGCATGCACGTGTACACACTCTGGAGTATGTGGAGGTATACACACACACACCATGGTACATGTGGAAGTCAAAAAACAACTGTGGGAGTTCGTTCACTCCCTCTACCATGTGGGTCCTGGGAATTGAACTCAGGCTTGGAGGCAAGCACCTCTATCTGCTGAGCCATCTTGCTGGCCCTTATTTAAACTATAAATGTATAATATTTCAAGTTTTACATGTGCTATACATTTTGGCATATCACGTGCACACACGTGTACACACACACAAACATGCAAAACCTCTAAGAGAAGTCCCCAGTCACCGGCTAGTTTAAAAGCCACAATGCCCACATTAAAGTAAAAGTCATGGGCCTAGAGAAATAGTTCAGTGATTAAGAACAGCCACTGCACTTGCCGAGGACCAGGGTGCGGTCACCAGCGCTGGCTTGATGGCTCACAACCATCTGTAATTCTGGTTCCAAAGGCTCCAACGCTTTTTTCTGACTTCGGGCACTGTATGCACACACAGTTCTTGTACTACACACGAATACTTCAGGTAAAACACATATAAAATAAAATATAAATAAAGATCATTCCAGGGACTCATAGAATGGATAACAGGCCTGCAACTACCCCTACCTCTTGTGGCGTGACTCTGGAGTATTTGTGCTTCGTGAAGGGCTTATAGTCGACCATGTACGAGCTCTGGTATATGTCTAGGTCCACGTAGTTCTAGAGGACAAGTGAGAAAAGAAAACAAGAGCCTGGCCCTGTCATTCTTCAACTTAAGGCTCTTTCAAGACTTCTTGACTATAAAATCACAGGCAGCTTTGGGGCCTGGCATCAGGAGTTGTGTGGGATGTGGCTTCTGTCCCTCAGGGCCCTCTTCCCACCATCACAGGAGCCTGGCACATGCTCACTACCTGATGAAAACAAAAACTATTCCCCTTGCCAACAAGCAAACTCCTGGGCATCTTCTAAGACTCAGACCAAATGTCCCTTTCCCCAGTCAGTCTCTACCTCTTCATGCCCCAGCTTTCCAGAACAAAAACCTTCCTCCTTTCCCATCTGCTTCAGTAATACACTGTGCAAGTGTTCCTTCAGGAGACCACAGTTCGATTCCCAGGACTGACATGAGGCAGCCACAATTACCTGTAGTTCTAGGGAGATCTGATTGATGCCTGTGACCTCTGAGCGCATCTGTACTCATACACACACACACACACACACACACACACACACACACACACACACACACACACAAATAATAAATCTTAAGAGAATAATTTAATGAAATAGCTGGGCATGGTGGTACACCTATAATACAGCACTTGAGAGGTAGAAGCAGGAAGTTCAGGAATACAAGACACATGGACCACAAAAGACACTGGCTGTTAGCCAGGCAAGGTGGTCCACAGTTCTAATCCCAGCACTTGGGAGAAAGAGGCAGGTAGATTATCAGGGAGTATGGGGGTCCAGCCCCTCGATAGTCCCCTCCCAGGGTCCGGGAAGAATCTACAACCAGCTGATAATTAATCTTTGATGAGAAGAAATGAATCTATGTACATGAAATGCCTTAGTCCATATACTTTATTATTCTGTGTCAGTTACAAGCTTATATTCTGCTCTCATATTTAGCTCATTTCTAGCCTGATTTCTCTCTACACTTGTCTGCAGCCCCCTCTAGGTTCTATCTTAATTCCTTCATCTAGTTATGCCCCTTCTAGGTTCTCATCTATCTTGTTCCTTCCCATATCATCTCCTCTCCCATCTCCTTCTCTCTCCTCATCTCATTCTTCCTCATCTTGTTCTTCCCCATCTGGCTCTTCCTCATCTTTTATCTCGTTCCTCTAGTACTCTCTTCTAGCCCTTCAATCTACTTCTTCCCCATCTCAGTTTGTTCCTCTCAAGTTCTTACCCATCTAGTTCTTCCATTCTCTTCTCTGTCCTCCACATGCCCTGGAAGTTCTGGTATATATACTTATAAGCAGCATTCCCTTAGCAGTGCAAAGCCAGGCTTCCAGGGTCAAACGGATGTGTGTGTGTGTGTGTGTGTGTGTGTGTGTGTGTGTGTGTGTGTGTGTGAGAGAGAGAGAGAGAGAGAGAGAGAGAGAGAGAGAGAGAGAAGAATCACATAGGGAGGCAATAACTGTTAATTATCATTTGCAATCCCAAAGGGAAGTAACCAATGGGGAAATGAATTAACTAAAGGCTAAATTTAGGTAATATTAAGAAGAGGACTCTTATGTGCTCAACTATAATCTTCAACGTGATTGGTAGAAAATGTTAAGAATCTATAAGTTGCTAGGTCAATGGGAGAAAATAAAACTGTCTTCTTTTTTCCTGTGACTCATATCTGTCCAAGCTATCTGCCATTTTTCTGCAGGGTAGGGGGAAAGTATGCTCGGTCGCTAGGCAACCTGCACAGCTAGATGCCTCTGGTGATAGTTAAAGGGAGATCTGGAACTAGAGGTAAGGTTTGGGAAAGGAGGAAGTAAAGCTTAATTGACACAGTAGATCTCTGTGAGTTTGAGGCCAGCTTGGTCTACACAGTGAGTTCCAGGATGGTCAAGACTATGAAGAGAGATCTTGTCTCAAAAACAAAAACAAACAGACAAAACCTAAAAACACTGGCTCCAAAGAACAAAAACCACCAAAGAACAAGCAAGCTGGGACAGAAAGACGGCTCTGCAGTTAAGAGCACTTGCTGATCTTGTGGAGGATCTGGGTTCAGTTCCCAGCACCCATATAGAGTCTCATAACCATCCCTAACTCAAGGTTCAGGGCATTCAATGCCTTCTTCTGGCTTCTGTGAGCACCAGGCACACACATACCATGCATACATGCAAAATACTCTCACACACACACAAAATAAAAATCAACAAATCTTTTTTTTTTTTAAAAAAAAAAGCAAACAAAAAAGAATTATTTAGCCAAGTGTGGTGGTTTAATCTCAGCATTGAGGAGGCAGAAACAGGCTGATCTCTGTGAGTTTGAGACAGCCTGGTCTACACAGCAATACATAACAAGTTCCAGGTCAACCAGGGTTGCATAATGAAACTCAGTCTCAAAAACACAAAAAATAAACATACTCAAAAACAAAAGCAACCACCACAATAACAAACTTAATGAAGTGCTCTAGACTGAGACCTTGTTTTAGCTCCCTCAGTCTCTGAAGTCCAGCGCCAATGCCTGGTACATCATGCCATGAGTGCCCCGTAAATGCATGATGAACAAATAAATCTCCAGTATGGTTCAGACTTTCCCTTGTGTTGTGTAGCTCACTCTGAGACTGTTATAAGAGACAGAAACCTACATTACTCACCTTTTTTGGGTTCACCATACATGCCATGGCCAAGGACCTAGAAAGACATGTCGGTTAGCCCTGCTCTGTCTCAAGCAGAGGCAATATCCCACTATTTCCACAGCTATACAAGCAAGCAGGACTGCTCTGGTCCCCTTAGTTCATCCCCGCTCCACCTTCCCTAAGATTCTACCTTGCATTTTCCCTGGAGCCAGTGGAGGCACTAGGGATGGGTGTATGGGGCTGTGTGACAAGGAGACTATACACAGAATTCAGAGGAATTAGAATTCACTAATTTGATGATCCACCTCTCCAAAAGGTGCATCAAATAGCAAAGCAAGCTTAATAACCAAATTTGGAAGGAACAGAAGCCGCGACTTTACAGCATCTGCCAATCCCTAGGAAGTAAATCCCCCAGCATGGCCACTTTGAGCTTCTAACACATCGCTGACACTGAGTTGCAGAGGTGTGCGCTATGTGGGATCTCCCCAGCCAGTGTAAACCAGGGCTCGCCCTGCCCGGAGGAGGCAAGGCCCAGGCCTGGGGCTCCAGCACTCCAGTCCAGAAGCAGGCTGTCCAAGGTAAAGAAAGTTGTGAGGCATTCCCAGATGAAGGATGAATGTCCACACACGAAGGTCCAATGTCCCCCATGCCCAGCCCTGAAATCTTGAGGGAAGCCATGTTGTAGGTCTGTCTGTCTCTGTTACTACTTGTGTCTCTGTGTCTCTGTGTCTCTGTCTGCGTCTCTCTCTCTTTCACCTTTCTGACAGGGTTTCAGGCAGCCCAGGCTGGCCTCAAACCTCTGTGCAGTTGAGAATCACCTCAAATTCTGATCGTCCTATGTCAGCCTTCTGAGTACCGAGTGTTACAAGTGTACACCACACAGGAGGCAGAGGCAGGTGGATCTCTGGCATTCAAGGCTAGTCTGGTCTACATAGTGAGTTGTAGGCCAGCCAGGACTACAAAGAGAGACCTTATCTCAAAAACAAAAACAAAAACAAAAAAACCCAAAAAGCAAGTGTGCACCACCATGTCTGTGTTATGTGGTGCTAGGAATTGAACTCAGGGCCTTGTGTATACTAGGTAAGCACCCCACCAACCGAGCTACGTCCCCAGCAACCACTCCTTCATTTCACTACCAGGAACCTCTCTGCCCTGCGGTCCATGCTGATCAGCCAGCTGTGACCTGGCGAGGTACTGGCCAGACCTCAGCTGATAGTCCATGTCTCCTCCTTCCTGAACACAGACAGCCCAGGGCCCACTTTGGTTCAGAGCCTACCTCCTTTCCTTTTGACAAGACTGCCCTTCCAACCTCAGGAGGCCCTGCTCTGTGGAAAGTCCTGTTGGCACTGTCTCGCTGGCAAGCCTGCCCCTGAGATCAGCCCTGACCTACACAATTGAAACTGTTTGGGTCATTGGCCCTGGTCATTGTGATGTGGGTAGCTGGTTGTTCCGCTCCCTGAATGTCAGTTCCCCTGTCCCTGGCTTAGCCCTCCTGGAGTCTCAGTACATCTGGACCAACCGGGCCAGAACAAACCTGACGGGATGGTACTGGAGGGGAGATGCTTGTCACTACTCTGAGGGTCCGGCTATTGCCAGGAGAGATAGTTGCTTGATGACATCTATGGTGGTATTTTATTTGTACTGAAATGTGATTTTCGTTGTATGTTAATACATAAAGTTGCCTGGGGGTCAGAGCTATTACAGCCATAGCAAAAGTGTGGTGGTGGTGGCGCACACCTTTAATCCCAGCACTTGGTGGAAGAGCTAGGTAGATCTCTGTGTGTTCAGGGATACAGCCAGCATTGGAGATATACGCCTTTAAGACCTGGAGGGCGGTACTTACAGGCAGTGACGAGGCAGTAATGTGTTTGGGTTTACAACCAATGAGAAGGCAGAACAGAAAGACTATTTAAAGACAGACACACAGGAAGTAGCTCTTTTTCGGGGAAGCTAGGAGCACTGCAGGAGGTAAGATTTTAGCTCTGAGCTCTGACCTCTCGGCTTTCTCTTTTACATTGGTTCTGTGTTTCTTATTTTAATAAGACGGTTGGTTACATCTACAGACATCAGTCTGGGTTTAGCTAAACCCATGCCTCTGTGGGTTTCATACTGCCTTAGAGCCCAGCTCACATATTTGTCAAAGTCTTACTCTCTTTTACTTGTACTAGTAAGGCTATTTAAAAACAAACAGCACAGAACAGAAAGTAGCAAGTGTGGTTGAGGAGTCAGGGAGAGTAAAACTCTCACACACTCTTGGTGGTGATGGAAAACGGTACAGCTAGGGAAAACGGGTTGGAAGTCTCTCAAAAGTTAAGCACGGGGGCACACAAGATGGCTCAGCAGCGAAAGATTCTTGCCACCCAGTGGCACTACCTGTGTTCGAACCTGGGATTTACATGGTGGAAAGAGAGAACCAACTCCTGAAAGTTGCCCTCTGACCACCACATGCACATACAAATATAAATAAATAAATGTTTAAAAAAACATATGGAGAAGGACCATGTGACTTGGAAAGTTCACTGTTAGTCATAAATCAAAAGGAATTAAAAGCAGGGGATCAGAGACACGGGATGCCACTGCTCGTAGCAGCAGAATTCATGATGCCTGAACAGCCACCAGCAGCTGGATGGGTTACCCAACTGTGGTGCAGGCACAGTGTGGAACATTACTCAGAAAGTTCTGACCCATGCTACAGAGGGAATGAAACTAGAAAATGTTATGCTAAGTTCAAAAACCAGTCACAAAAAGACAAATGAGATTGCCAAGTGCAGAGAGAAGACAGGATGCAAATTTATTTGTTATTTATTTGGCACTTGGGAGAGCAGCCTGCAGGAGTAACTGGGCGCTGTCCCTGCAGCCTGGCAGGGAGCTCCACTCCAGAGAGTCCTTCGATGGAGACGGAAAACCCGAGTTGTTCGGTTTTCCTACCAAAGACTACAACACACATCGTCACATCGTACTAAATTTAACATTTTACAACGGAACAC